GTTCCTGCTTCCAGGTTCCTGCCCTGAGTTCCTACCTTGGGCTCCCTGATGAACTGTGACCTGGGAGTTGTAAGCTAAATAAACCCTTTCCTCCCCAAGTTGGTAGTGGTCAGAGTGTTTTGTCACAGCAATGGAGAAACAAACTAAGACAGATGACTTCCACCACCAAAGCTGAATTTGAATGTGAGCCAAGGTGGACACACGTCCACAGACATCTGCTCCACTGAGTCCAACTAGATAGATGATTTAGACACAATTCTCACCAGCTTGTATTTTCCAAAAATTTTACAAAACTTATTTTGAGAACTCCCTACACAAATTAACTGATGTTATGTTTAGGCAAAAATACTCTTAAGAATCATTTCTGTAGCAATGATTGTAAAGATCTAAGAGATAATGTAAGGGAATGGAATCCCTGGGTCTACTGAGAGACAACACTGCCTTCTTTGACTGCACTTTTTCCCTTCCTTGGTGGGGACAAAAACCAGGGCTGGGGCTCTACCCCTGAGGTATTTCTCCAATCCCTGCTTGTTTTATTGGTTTTCTCATTTTTATTTTCTGGAATGATCTCTGGAAGCCCACCTAGGGGCAGTGACCTTTACCTAGATCCTGCACAAACCTAAGGACTGAAAGCCTCAAGGGAGGTTTGGTCTCCTTGGAGGAGACTGGAAGGACAGGAGTGCCGAGGGATGGTTCCTGCTTCTTCATCTTCATTAGGAGTCAAGTGTAGAGAAAGCCCTTTCTCCTCATTGCTGTGGATTTTGCTACTACAAAGGAAGAGTGTTTGAAGTTTCACAGATCCTAAGATGTTTGGTGTTCCTTGTACTGATCTGTGCAAGAAGCTGTCAACTTATTAGTCAAATCATGGCCTAAAAGTAGCATGTTTTATTTCCTCCTTTTTTGTTTTGTTTTGTTTTGAGACAGGGTCTCCCTGTAGCTCCAGCTAGTCTGGAACTCCATACGTAGACAAGGTTAGCCTTGATCTCACGGATCCACCTGCCTCTGCCTTTGCTGGGATTAAAGGTGTGTGCCACCACAGCTGGCCTTGAAAGAGATGGGCAGCACTGGCCGGGTGTGATGCAGATGGCCGCGTTGTAGTCTCAGCTGCTCCTGGATGCTGAGTCACAGATCACTTGAGCGTGAGTCAAGATCAGCCTGGGCAACACACTGAGACCTCACTGTTCCTCTTCTCTCCGCTCCAAGAGGCAACATTTACTTCTATTTATTTTTATCAAAAAATTTCCAATGAAGTATTTTAATGAAAAAAAAAAACAACAAAAACAATTAAAAACGACAGAAAAAAGAAAGACGTCAACTTCCAATTCCAGACTTTGTGTCTACGTGTTACATGATATTCTGAAGATTATTTCCTGAACTCAGTTTTCCAATTATAGCAAATATTGATTTATAAATAATTTATGTCAACAATACTTACTCTTGTACTCTGAAGTAGAAAAGAAACGAGGTAGAAAGATACATATTTTATTATTCAGTATGTACTGAAAATACACTTAATTGCTCATCATCAATGTCTTTTCATGCTCTCGGTTCCATGGCCTATAAAAGGTCATTTGGAAGCTCTGCTTTTATTACAAATGATTACAAATGACCGAGGATGGCAGACGCCAAAGTGAGGCAGGTGGTAGTTTGTAATTTGTAATCCAGGTAATCATCCAGACACCACAGACACGCAACTGTTGATCAAGTTGGGATACTCATGATTTCTACACTTACATCATAGGTTGCCTTCATGGTCATGGTGCTGCTGTCTGTTCACTGAGAGTTCACAGGGACAAGAAGGCTAATTTATTCCTCACTCCCTGAAGGGAGGAGGCAGTCCGGTGTTTCCAGGGTATTAGCATCTACAGAAGAACTTTCTCTTTTGTGGGTAGTACTCCTTGGTTACCTGATTTTATAACACCAAATGGAAATAGTTAAGCAAGTATGGTCAGAAAGGATTCTTACCAGTTTCTGCCCAGACAGGACCTCCAGGAGAGCAAGCAGTTTGACACCATCTTTCATGTCTTCAAAAAGATCATCCACCACCATGGGAGGTTTCCGCTGCAAAACCAAAACACCACTCACTGGGGTGAAATTTGTAGGATACATTCCTGTATACTTTCTTCATTCATTGTCTGTGCTGTGAGTTAAATGAGGACCTTATGCACGTTAGGCATATGCTCTGTTGCTAAGCCATATCCTAGACTCCTTAATTCATTGTTTTAGATAGAATTATCAGTTACATTTTGATAAGTTCAAGAAGAAAAATAATCAAGTACAAATAAATTTGACATCTAAAAACCTCATAAACAGTTAATGCTTACGCTTAACTTGTATTTTAGCTTCTTTCTAGAGTTTTTAAGAAAGGGCGTGATGGTGTAGGCGAAGAGAAGGAGAGGCCTCTATCAACCTAAAAAGTAGCAGAGAGACTACAGCATGGCCTGTGCAAAGCAGGAAGTATCTCAGACCTCCAGGATTAACACATCACTGTCAGTGAAGAGCCTCATGGAACTTAAGGAGCTTGAGCTCATTTAGAGGGTATTCCCATGAGGCCATGAGCACAGTCACAGGAACAGAATGGGTATTCCTGAAGTATACAGGCAGGCCATGCTCTATTTCACAGTTCCCTACGTTCTGCACACCTCCTCTCAGAGGAGCCCTCAACCCAAAGGCCACAAGCCCTGAAATATTCATGATCAGTCGAATCCCTCTCCTCTTTTGGATGCAAAAGAAACCCAAGATCATTTCATGTCACTGGGGTCTTTTTCCTTTGCATGAATGCCATCAAAATGCTGACTAGGCTGGAGTTCATCAGAGACCTTGAAGTAGGGTCTGCTGAGAATCAGCAGGAGGCAAAGAAGCGATGATATGAATTTCAAAGGTCTTTAGAGAGCAGGGGAGGGGGTCACCCTCAGCCTCAGAAAGCTGCTTTCCTCTGAATCTTCAAGGCCTGAAGCTTCACTCTCAGCTGCTTCTCTTTTCTGTGTAAATGTAGAGGTACTGAAATACCGGATGTTTATCGAAACTGACTTTCTTCTCTGCCCACCGCCAGGCATTTATATTTCTCTCACTGACTGCATGGCGATGGCGGCTGAATGCTACAGTTCTAATTTTAACATATTTCTCTTTCTTTATGAAATGAACAGCTGAATACATTTTGTCCGCATGCTGTGAAATAGATACTTAAATATAACAGCGTTTGCATTTTCAATCATTCCGTCGAATCCCTCTACTAATGCTCCTTCTTAATTATATAGAAAAAACGGAATGTAGCAGTGATTTTACATCCTACACACAAATAAAATTATGTAGGCTAAAAGGAGCACTTACAATCAAACTGACTCAATAACAATCAAATTCTTATTTTATCCACTCATCACCATTATAAATAACACATGTGCCATTTACCAATTTGTATCTTCGTAACTTGAAGAAAAACAATGATGGAAAAGCCCATCGATATGTGATACACTGAATGAGGAAATAAAAATGAAGGTTTTGTAAGATCTATAAGGAAAGTTAAAAGAAAGTAGAAATTCCCATGGGAGAGCACACACATGTTCTCTTCTACTCTGACACTAAACACACGCAGTTCTCTGTTGCACTGGGAAACATTTGTTCCGCTGTGCTCCTGGAATTGGCCTTCAAAATAATCAGCAGTGACTGCTGGGCAGGCCTTTACCCCTCCCCGGCCTCTGCCTGGGGTATTGCTGATCCCATTCTCTGTTCCTTCCAAACCTCTGCCACCAGACCAGCCTGGTTTACAAGACTCCTCTCTCTCTTTGCCTTCTTCCTCTCGTTCTCATCCTCTTCCTTATCTTTTCCCCCTCCCTCTCTCTTTTCCTTCCCTCTCCTCTTCCTTCCTTCTCCCCACATTCCATTCTGTCTCTTCTCTTTTGTGTTTCCTTCCTGGCTGTGGTCAAACTCACTTCAGAATCTTCTGTTTATCATAACACTTTGTCTGCATAGATATGACTCCTGAGTTCTCCTCCCAGGTATTCATGTGCCCCCTAAACATTGCTAAAACCATGGAAGATACTTAATATGTTGCTGGCTCCCTGGACAGAATGGAGAGTGGATTTGATCAAATCATGTTATCTGCATGTCTGAAAGTCTCAAAAAATAAAAAAGTTGGTACATAAAGGAAATAGAGCAAATAATCATATAGACTATGTATATATGCTGCCCAATGTTTAGCAGTGTCTCTATGCCTTGGATGTTTCTAAACTTCAACTTACTAGGTCTCTAGTAGGGATGAAAGGAGGATAGGAGAGTAGAATGGAGAAGAAAGAATAAAGAAAAATCATTGAACATCCAAATGTATTATACACGATGATGTGGACTCTACATGTTATCTCATTTTTTATTTACAAACAAGAAATCTGATTCTCAGCAAGACCAAGTTATTAGCCAAGATCACATCCTCTGAAGTATCTGGGAGATGAGCCCAGGTTTGCTATCATTTAAACCACCTGGTTAGACAGGAAGCTTATTAGGAAAAGGAAGGTATTAACATGAATGTTTTCCGAATGATGCACAAGTCTATAAACATGAATTATTTAGTTTCAATGAGGAAAATATTGGTATCAGCTGAAGTGCCTACTACCTACTAGGAACAGAAAATTTATTAACAAACCCAGTGTTAGACATGGATTTGAGAAAGACTAAAAAGTAACAGAAGCATCATATATATTCATGAAGGCATAAATACAAGTCAGCCTGGTTTACACAGTGTTCCCTCTGGGCCATGTTTGTTCCACAGCCCACCCTGAGCTGGTCCCTTCACATTCTCTGTTTATGTCTGGAAGATGACTAAGGGCCCAGCTGGCTCATGGTAGCATCCTCATGTTCGTACTGCTAAGGTCTTATGCTACTCTGCCTCTGTCTGCTTGAGATTAGGTTTGTTAAGGATATGGGGTTCTCAAAGCTGCTCTCAGACTGGATGACTCACAGGACTCCCAGAACCCTGGAAAGCTGTACACTCAAGGTGACATTTTATTACCACAAAAAGATACAAATCGGATCACAAATCAGATCAAAAAAGACGATAGGCACCTGGAGTGAAATGGAAGAGAATTCGCTTACAGGTTTCCAAGGTGAGTAAGTTGCCCCCTCCCAAGTGGAGTCTCATGGCCATGCAGGTCTTTAGCAATGACTTGGAACCTGTTCAAAATATTGCCAGCCAGGCAAACTCACCCAGGGCCTATCAGGACAGGCTACGTGCCCCTGTGACTGACAGGCTACTCAGAATCTACTCTTCCTCTCCTCAATCTCAAGAACAAAAACCAAACAAAGCAAAAATGGTGCTTACCCAGATCACATTGTTTATATGCAATAATCAAAGTGGAACAGTGTGGCCAACACACAGCCAGAAATAAAAGGCGGTGTTCAACAGACATGTCCTTTTGGGCAAATCTTTGAAGATTAATTATGTTCACTTGCGCAATACTGGAACTCAAGTGACACCTGTACGTCAAATCCCTTATTCGTTTTCAAGCACTGTTCTGGGTGTGACGATTTGTTTCAGAAACTTCAGTCTCCCACTAGATGATGAAAAGTGACTCAAAGCATATGCATTCTGTAAGATGGGAGTACATGTGATCAGAGAAACCTGGCTGTATTTTTATGACTTCCATTTCTAAAGTTTTTTTGTTTTTTTTTTTGAGACAAGGTTTCACTATGTAGTGCTGACTGGCCAAGAATTTACTATGTAAACTCAGCTGATCTTGAACCCACAGAGATCTGTCTGCCTCACACTCTTTAATTTAAAGAAATTAAAAGATTTACATTTCTAATTTTAAAAAATGAAAAGATTTTTAATGCCACACCCTTTTTTAATTTAAAAAATTAAAAGATTTACATTTTTAATTGTGCTGAAATTCATAGAACATAAGGTTCACCGCTTCAAGTGTTAGTTCAATAGTGAGGTATTTCCACATGATTGTGTTACCAGTCTCCAGAACTTTCCTCATCATGCGAAACTGAACACTAGACCCATTAAGTAACCGCACTTCCCTTCCTCTCAATCCCTGGCAACTACTATCCTGTTCCTTCTGAGTGGTTTTGATTACCCCCTGGTACCTTATACAAGCAGCATCATGCTATTTGTTATTGGTGTCTGGCTTGTTCCACTTAACACAATGACCTCAAGTTTCCTCCACCTTGCAGCAGGTGGCAGACTCTCCTCCCTTTTCTTCTCCTGAGCAATATTCCATTGTACTTATACCCATTCCTCTGTCAGTGAATATGGAGGTTGCTTCTGCTTTCTGGTCACAACTGGATATTGCTGTATACATGGGTATAGTGATACTTCTTTTTTTCCTTCAATGTATATTTTTATTGGATTTTCATGCATTTCATACATTAGATATAAATCATAGACCTTGCCCCATCTACATACCCCATAGTCTGCCCACAGGTTTTCATGCATTCTGTCATATATTTTTAGGCCAATCAAGTCAAGTTTGTGTCCCTAGAAGTCTGTCTGTGTGAGTTCATCTACTGGAGCCTGGGCAGCCTATCTAGATCCTTCTTGAATGCTTTAGTACAACTCTATAGGTATATACCCAGGAATGGAATTGTTGGATTACATGGTAATTTTATTTTCAGTTTTTTGAGGAGCTTTCATTCAGGTTTCCATAGTGAATATCCAGAGGAAGAAGAGGAATCTGCTTGGAAGCATGGCTCGACTGTCATCACTGCATCAGTGGCTGTCTACACAGCCCCTGGAATTGCACAGTCCACTCTGATCAAGGTCACAGTTATAAACGAGTTTCAGCATTAAGGATTTAATCTTCAGCAGAGGAAAGGGTAAAAATTGCCTGTCTCCCTCCAGGACCAGTCCAGGCCCCCAATTACCATCATCATATTTGGTTTTCTACTAAGGGTTTTTCTCCATGTGGAAAGAGTTCATCAAATATTTTATGGTATGTCACTTTAAGACACTAAACCCATATCCTATGGCTTAGTATTTGTTATTGTTGGATATCTACCAACACCAACACAACGGGACTACAAAATGTCTTATGGTGGCCCTCATGCCACAGATGGCCACTTTCTTT